AAAGTTCAGAGTGAATTTAGTGTCATATCGCGACTCAAGCCTTGGACCTTCCAAAATATTAAAATATTTTATATTATATTAAAATATTTTAGTCCCCCCCCCCCCGTCTGTGTGTGTTTCTTTGTGTGTTTGTCAGCAAGATTTCTCGAAAACGGCTGAATGGGTTTGTACGAAAGTCTGAATACATTTGGACTATGACCAACTTAGAAGTGATTAGTTTTAGAGAGTCAAGAGCAAATATCAAGGTCACAGCAAGGTCACGAAATCCAAAAGAAATTCCTATTTGTTAACGTGGGGACCGATTTTGTTCTATAACTCAGTTAAAAATTATTGGATTTTGATTAAACTTGGTGGCTATATGTAAAATATTATTCCTCATTGTCGTGTTTAAAATGGCCCATGTTCGTTGATAACAACGGACATACGGACACATTTTCGTCTTTTTTTGAGAGCCTCGTGTATGAGCTCCACAGATTGTTTCTCTAATTATATTTTGTTTTTACCAGTGAAATGTTGAGTGTGTTTTATTTAACGATGCTTTTTAGCTAGTAAATAGTAAACTTAATTCGTATTTACCAATAAATAATCTATCAGGAATTATATCTCACGAGCTGTTACGTATAAGGTGAAATTAGTTTTATATTAAAATTGTGTTATATATAACTGTATATAAATATTTATCCCTTCTTTACATTAGCTGTTCGCGTTATGACGTGAAATTTCTCGTGAATTACTATCAATTATCAAAGTACGTACAATAAAAAGTGTTTCGTAAGTTGAACCACTAATTCATAACGAGAAAGAAACCATTAATAATTCGAAAAGCTGAATCCCCACCCCCACACACACTGATTCAACATATTTCGTGTGATTTGCAGAAGTACTAATTCAAGGGCGGGCACAACAACGGAGACCTTGATTCTGTAAATATACATGAACCTTGGACAAAGTGTAACCTCCCAGTGATTATTGAGCCAGGTAGTGGATCTGGGCTTCCATGGTTCGCGCTCCTTTACCGACAAAAATACACAAAAAAATCGCCTTCCGCACTTTGAGGCCGTGGATACGTTATACCGGTGACTGTACGAACCCTCTATAATCGAATAGACTAGTCCACGAGTTGACTATGGGAGGCGTTGTGTAGCTGCCGTTTATCACTCGAAATTTAGGGACAGCTGTCGCAGATATAGTTCTTGAGTAGCTTTGTGCGAAATTCAATAAACAACAGTATCGTGAGTCCACCTCGGTTCGTCACACCTTCCTCGGAATGTCTTTAATATGATGTGTTGAACATACGTTATACGTCATTTCCCTTATCTGTCACAATTTGAGTTAACAGGATAAACCAACAGGAGCAAATAAAATACACACTCTATTCGTCTAAAGTTAACAATAGAAACGTAATAATAATTAGCCAAAAGTTGCAATGATTAGTATCCGCTGAATTATCGGTTGAGTACCTTCGGTATTAGTTATATTTTCGGTCGTAATCCCAATAATATCTCACGAGATTCAGCCAGTTTAGGAAATCTAAGTTAGTCTTAAGTCCATAAATTTAACTAATAAAGAAAAATAATCTCCATAGGTGTGCAAATAAAATAAACAATATATATATATATACTTGAAACATCACAACTAATATCATTAATGAAACTAACTTTAAACAAAAAATGAAATATAACTTTATTTAGTAGACACACAAAAACTAGTTGTTTCTTTCACTGTTCATTGTCACTAGTTCCATATTCCTAGAACAGCGTGGCACAAGTAAAAGTAAAATTTTTATATAAGCCCCCTTAACAATGAACAGTAACCCCGAGACTGTGATTTCAGCTTAGCTTAGCATACGACACAAATGGCTAAGATACATGATGTTATTAAGTAGAACAGGAGAGGGTGATGCTACAGATAGTCCAGCAAAACAAAACAAAAACTGATATTTATATAGATAAAAATAACGAACTAAGTAAATAAAAACGATTCGGTATATAGTTAAAAAATATCTATCTTATATTTAGAATGATCAAAGTATATGCAGTTAAGAGAAATAGAAATTACCTAAAATACCGCGTGTAGTATTTACAAACAACTGATCTCACGGTCACACCTTCTGTATGAGCAATTTTAAGAATGAGCAGCTGAAAGTTTGTTTGTTTGTTGAATCTTGTGCAAAACTACTCGAGGGCTATCTGCGCTACAGTCCCTAATTTGGAAGTGACAGACTAAAGGGAAGGCAGCTAGACAACACCACTCACTGCCAACTCTTCGGCTATTTTTACTAACAAAAAGTGGGATTAACTGTCACATTATAACGGCCCCACGACTGAAAGGACAGAGATGTTCGGTGACGGGATTGGAACCCGCGACCCTCAGATAGCGATTCGAGTGCCCTAACCACCAGACTTTGACAGTCCCAGCGGGAACCAATAAATAAGCTCAAACTACAAGACTAACTGACAAGATTCATTATCAGAACAATAAGAAGTTTTGTACAGCTACTAATGTAACTAAACTAATGACGTCATACATTTGACGCTGTTATACAGATTGCAGTAACTAGAGAGAGGTAAAACTAATGGTGCAATACCAAGTTTGTTTATCATTTCCCTAATTATTTTTCTTTAAAAACGATAAATAAAAAGTAATATATGTACATATAATAACAGTAATTAGGGTGTAATTAAAGCTATATTAATGACAATGTTTATTTAAGAGAAACACAAATACGAGCGACAATGACGGTTCTCGTTTATTAAACCTCAGTTGTGTGTTCTTCGAACAACAATAAGATATTACATAATTTATTATGCGTCATAGTAGTTGATACGATACGTATCTTGATACAGAAGTTTTACCAACGGTTTGTTACATAGTTTAACAGGCTTGTCTGTAATTTATTATCTATATTACTAACATTGTCTTATTTAAGTACTTCACACTTTACAGTGCTTTTTCAAATTCTCAGGTTTAATCAACTAAATGACAGCTGGCAAGAGAAGTAAAATATAAAAAAAAAGTTAATATCTGTCTATGTATTTTGTTATTGTTAATTTGTTATGTTACTTTTCATGTAATGTTTTTGATAAAATAAATAAAGACAACATGTAGTACTCAATACTCATCTTCCTTTATCGAATCATTAATTTTTAGCAAAAATATTTTACTAGGAATTCTGATTTTTTCTGTACAAAAGACTTCTAATGTTTACTGAAAGTTTGTCAAATTTCGTGGAGATACATAAATCGTATTGTATCGTTTCGGACGATGTATCGATACAGTCGTATCACAGCTTCACGATACGATACTCGTATCGCCACACCTTTAGTTATTTCTAAGTTCATTGGCTTGCTATATAAATTCCAGGTTTTCGATACTTGCAGCACCACATAAATATGCGTTAGTTGTTAAAAGAAAACGTGCAATTGGTGTCAGCTTCTTTTGTGATATCAAGTATATAGTTAAGATCTTTGTTCTAACGACAAGCTACTGGAATTGCCTACATAATAAGTCTCTATTCGAGCGCCGTCTGTTGTTAACTACTTGTACTAATAGAAGATTAACTAAGGCAAACTCAATTTTTTTGACTTATTTGTATTCACACCTATAATAACATGAAAAATACAAAACTTACAACGCTGAGGTTCGATTCCCCGTAGTGGACACAGCAGATAGCCTCATGTGGCATTGGTTCAAATCAATTAACTAACCAAGATACACAACCTGTCAGTATGATTCAGCGTTAAGTTACATTAAGCTACTTATTATATAGAGAATATTTGACTGATATGTTATTCGCACTCTCCAAATATTTTCAGAGTTGTTTTAGTCTACCTCTGTATTTAATTCATTTTAAAAAATCAAACATTTTAATAATATTATGAAAGTCGGTCTATTATATTTAACTTCATGCCATAGATAAAATTTTTAAACTTCGAACGAAATATTACAAAAATTATTTTGTACGATACACACCTTTAAACTCAAAATTTGCTATATCTTTGAACCAGCGCAAGAACTACGCGTTTGCATGTATTCCGTTAATTTAAATTTTTCGCAAAGCTTCCATTATAACGCCACCACGAATGAAAGGGCGAGCATGTTCGGTAACGCGATTCGAACCCCCAAGTAGCACATTGTAAGTCGAGCACCCTAACCACCAAGTCATACCAACCCTCCACGTGTCTTGTTTTTTAATTTGTTTGATCTTTTTATTCTGAAGGATTTTTCGTTACTAGGTTACTTTCAACGTACAAGATTCTAAATGTAACTCAAAATAATTAATGAATACTCTAACGTTATTGTATATTTCTCTTTTGTTTCGCTTTCTATTGTTTGTTTTCATTTCTTTTTGTTAGAAATAAAATAATTTTCATTAATACGTATTTTCCATATTTAAATCAACACTGCATTTCTGCCACCTTTTCACATATTACCCTTCTCATGCAACCAACACTGCATTTCTGTCACCTTTTCACATATTACCCTTCTCATGCTACCAACACTGCATTTCTGCCACCTTTTCACATATTACCCTTCTCATGCTACTAACACTGCATTTCTGCCACCTTTTCACATATTACCCTTCTCATGCTTTTATAGACGTATAGATCGGGTCGGGCCTAGTGGTTATCGTGCATCGGAGGATTTGCGGTTCGCGACCCATTGTAACAAAAAATACGCTCCGCACTTTGAGCTCGTAAGAATGACGGTCAAATCCGAATATTCTATTAAACAAAAGTAGACCTGGAGTTGGCGGTCGCTGTTATTGACTATCTGCATTCCTTAACACAATCTATTAAAAAAATTAGGGACGGCTATGCTCAGATGGAAATTTGTGGAAATTCTGAAACACGGTAATAAACGCCCTTCTTTTTTCTTTTTTTTTTAACGCAGAGCGAACTTCCGAACTTGTTCGACTTCCTTGAAAAGTTCTGTATATTATCATCCTCTTCTAGAAACATAACATACCACTATTTCTGTTAATAACAAGATGGTCCTACCTTGGTGAGCGTGACTCTGATCCAAGAAAAATCGTCACGAAGATGAAAAATGATAAAATCAAAAGGGGCATTTGGGCGCCAACAGAATTTCTGACCTTCCTGACCTTCGGACCCATTGATGAGTTTTGTTTAGGTACCTTTACACGAGAGGTCTAACTGCGTACGGTACCTAACAGATTACACTAGGAGAAATGTCGGATCTCTTAAGGCACGTGTACTTTCCTATCAGAAATGTGTCACCCAGCAGGCATGCGCAAGAAAGGAATGCCATAAGCTGTAACAACAACAATCGAAAAAAATACAATATCATCTCTGAATCGTGAATATTCTAGATATATATATAAATATATATTTATATACTACTATAAATATATACTTATATATTTGTTTATTTATCTACGTGTTCTTGATATCTTATGAGTCGATTAGTTGTTATTAAGCGTAAAGCTACACAATGAACTAGCTGTGCTCTACTCACCACGGGTTTCGAAACCCGATTTTTAGCGTCGTAAGCCAGCAGACTTACCGCTGAGTCACTGGGAGGGAGCTGTTTTATGAAAAACCAGAGAAATCAACTGTTTGAGGAAAAAAAAACGCTCTATCAACTTAGTTTCATATGAAATTATCAAACAATTTTCGTAGAAACAGATTTAAATACCTAAAATATCATTACTCTGATTATGTAATCTTATATATGTGTTCATACAAATAAGCTTAAACTGTCAATATTCGAGAACCTCATATCACATCATGTCTCATATAGCTAAGCCTTTATGGTAGAATGTTTATCTTTACCTACACCATGAACTTCTGTTCAACTCTTTGTTTTTTCAATCCGAGAAACTTGTTACAATCATATTTCAAACAAAAGAAAACACGTATGAAAAACACTAGTATAATTAGGTTTGGTTATCTGAGATTTTAACTCTTATTTTAGGGAATAATGTTCGTAGTTAAACAAATCCGGATAAGTAGAGTTTAGGCAGGAGGTAGATACGAATGACTGAAAAAATAAATCTTCAAGTTTGTTATTTTTAACAACTGCAAACTGAGCATATCACGGCGCCAACAAAATATCATATTTTTCCTTATTCTTGTGATTCAGGAGACAGAAACTTAAACCCAGACTCTTCTATTATACAACATATATATGAGATTGGGAAAAGTTCTAAAAAATCGTCTCATACATCCAGAGAGCTTAAATGAACTACAGAATGGTTATACTTAAAGCTTACTTAACCTTTTCAAAATAATTTCTGTTGATGAAACCAAACCATATTTTTTACATCGTACGATTTGTGGCTAGGAAATCATGCATATTCTGACTCAAATCGTTTTTTTATTATTTATTTGCGAGCAAGATCCTAAGTAGGATAAGGGTGCCCAAAGCTGCACAAAGAACAATTTAGGCTGTACCCAGTGCAGGATTTGTTTGTTTGTTTGTTTGTTTGTTTTGAATTTCGCGCAAAGCTACACGAGGGCTATCTGCGCTAGCCGTCCCTAATTTAGCAGTGTAAGACTAGAGGGAAGGTAGCTAGTTATCACCACCCACCGCCAACTCTTGGACTACTCTTTTACCAACGAATAGTGGGATTGACCGTCACATTATAACGCCCCCACGGCTGAAAGGGCGAGCATGTTTGGTGTGACGAGGATTCGAACCCGCGATCTGCAGATTGCGAGTCGAGCACCCTAACCACCTGGCCATGCCGGGCCCACACAGGATTTGTTTGTTCGTTGTTAGGCCCAAAGTTACACATTGATCTCTTTATGCTGTGCCCATCATGAGTATCGAAACAAGACTTTCAGCGTGATAAGAAGTCCTCAGACTTGCCGCTGAGCCACCAAAGGACCACACACACACACACACCGCAAGAATCGAACGCTGATTTTTAGTGTTATAAGCCCCTCAACTTTACCGCTATGGTTGCTAAGAAAAAATACGAACTATATAACTGGCATAACATAATTTGGCTAGATTATTTATATGAATATCCGACAGAAATTTACAATAAGGAAATGTACAATACTTTAATACATAAAACTCTATTTGTCAAATATGCTCAGAAAAATAATATTATTTGTAAAATAATACTGCAGAGATAGATCTCGGCTGTCAAGCTTATCTACAAACTGTATTCAATTAAGGCTTCTACCATATTATTAAAAATTCACATTACATAGTTTAAGCTTTAACATCATGCTTTTCCAGAACGACTGACGCCACTACGTGACTGGTCATTTCCATTAGAAAATAAAGAATTATTTAGCCTCAAACTGCTGTCTACTTTCATACACAAGGTACAGCTTTATAGCTATTTTCCACAAGGGGTGGATCAGGTGATATCTCAGGGGAACGACACAGAAAAATATGTAGCTAGAGCGAAAGTAGCCTAACGACTTTATTGACGACATATTATATTAAATTGCACCTATATCTGAACCACTGAAGAAATTTGGAAAAAAACTTCTTATCAAAATAAAAAAGTCATTTTAAAATTTTCATTGCGCCATTCCCCTTTTCTTCTGTTCAATAACAATAAAGGAACAAATACATGATTCTTGGTATGCCCGCATATCATAACTTGGACATTTTAAAATGTTCTTTGCACCATTCCACTTTTCTTCTGTTAAATAACAGTAAAGGAATAAATACATAATTCTTGGCATCCCTGCATATCATAGAATGGACATTTTAAAATTTTCATTGCGCCATTCCCCTTTTCTTCGATTAACTAACAGTAAAGAAACAAATACACAATTCTTGTTCAGAAAGTAACTGTTCTGTAATGGTTGATATTAGTTGTGGTGTTTTGCTTCTTGAATGCTCTATAAGAACCTGAATGTGCAAAGGTTTTTCTTGCTGCCTGTTAGTTTTGTTTGTAGTTCAAAATACAAACAAGGAATTAATTATAACACTTGAATTTTGATAATCAGACAATACTATACAAAAATAATATTAATTTAACTTAGTATTACAAACTAGGAATAATTTACACAGAAGGAACCAAATGGATGAGCTGGTTTTGCTAATGCTCTAATTATAAATAATTAGGTCAAATTATTCTATAACGTTAATACTTTTCACGTCGTTTAAATAAAACAGAAGAAAGTACATAGCATTACATCATTTATCATTTCAGATCGTCTAATTAAAGCAAAACTAATCAGATAATATTACTCCATTAAGTATTTATCTTTTTTTAGGGTAATTAGGTAAAACTACTTCATAATATTTATAATTATCATGGTGTTTAAATAAATAAGTACTAATTAGGTAAAACTACTTCATAATATTTATAATTTTCATGGTCTTTAAATAAAGAAGTACTAATTAGGTAAAATTACTTCATAATGTCATTCATTTTCAGACTTTTTAATAAATCAGGAGTAACTTGGTGATACCACTTCATGATTATTATCAGTTTCATAGATCTAGTTTGTTTGTTTGAAGTTAAGCACAGAGCTACACAATGGGCTGTTTGTGCTCTGCTCACCACGGGTATCGAAACCCGGTTTCTAGCATTGTAAGTCCGCAGACATGCCGCTGGGCCACTGGGAGGGGGGGCATAGATTTAGAAAAAGCGGCAAATTTAAATGTAAAGCAACGACTAAACATAGCTTCACCACAGATATTTGTAAATTACAACTTCTGTTTTATTTATTTACTCATTTAAAATTAAACTGTTTAAAAGTTAGTACTAAGTGGGTATGGATATCCCAAATCATAAATACTAGGTTTTAAAATCATAAAGAATGATAAACACATTAATAATTATCGTTACGTTCTAAAATGAAGTACACGGAAAACTTCGACATAAAAACACACAATACTGTTTGATAACAATTAATTGACACTTCAGTACACAAATTGTCTCTTGATACAATTCGTGTAATGGATAGAACTATTTTACAGAAGAACCTTTTCATAGGTAATTTTCGAGAAAAACAGTGATCACTACGCATGAGACGAGTGAATGTACGGTTGACTAAGACCAGTAAACACACACACACAGCAAGAATATTTCATCGTATTAGCATTATGTATATAGAAAATGAGCTTTTTATGTTCATAATTTGCTCTGGCTTTTTCAAGATGTCGTAGAAGTCGTTATTCAATTATGGCTGCTTCGTTCCACGTTACGTGGTTGCCATGTGAAAAGAAATGAGCGGTAAATAAATTCGATTAACGTCGCGCAGATTCTAGAAAACAGCCAACAAATATAAAAGATGATTTTAAACTAGCATAAATAAATCATTTCATAGATAATTACACTAGCTATTGACTTAATCATGCCCACCAGTTGCACAGTGGTATGTCTGCAAAGATAGCCCATTGTGTAGCTTTGAGCTTAACTAAAAACAAGACTTAATCATGAAAAGTCAGGAAAAAAAAGAGAAGAATAGAATATATTATTGAAAACTGACCATATCTGAGACAGAAAATAATACAAGTGGATAGATTAACGCCAAATTAAGCAGTCAGGGACGTAGATATATATATATAAGTGAAAGAGTTTGCTGATTTATTGGGTTATTTTGGAGTGCTATTAAGAATCCTGAAGTTTTAAGGAAAACGAGTACTCTACGTGACAGCTCTATTTCTAACAGGTGATCTCAGATTGGGTTTCAGAAACGTCAAATTAATGGTTCTTTACCATTTTATCATCAGTCTAGTTGCCTATTTCTTAGACAGCTCACACACACATTATTGGTGTTGGTATTGCATGAGGTAATTTGATAGATATATAAAACAATTCAATCTTCCTCTACTCTACTCTGGTTTTTTTTTTTGCATCATTAGAATCGTGGCTTCTTACTTGTAACTAGAGAAGTTATTCGTAATCAAACTCCTCCTGTTCAACATCATTATCCAGAAAAATGTGGGTTTCGGATCTATTAAACTCTCACGATATCAATCTTGACACTTGAATCCACTGTGTTTTGCTGTTTTAACTATTTTGATGATAAGTGCAAACCCCTTCAAAAAATTATCATTCTATTGGAAACATCACTTCTAAAAATTATCATTCTATTGGAAACACCCCTTCAAAAAATTATCATTCTATTGGAAACATCACTTCTAAAAATTATCATTCTATTGGAAACACCCCCTTCAAAAAATTATCATTCTATTGGAAACACCCCTTCAAAAAATTATCATTCTATTGGAAACATCACTTTTA